GGTCACTGAGGGCATTGTTAGACTGCATGCACAAAATGCATTTGCTTCCCAGCATCTTGAAATGCATTGCATTAAAAAAGATTTGAGAGAGCTTCCTGCAGTCTGTCACTGGATCAGTTACCCCAAAGTGGAACACAAGATACTAGCCTTCTACTTAGCTTCTTAGATGCTTTTTTGGTTTAGTTTCGCCAGTTCACTTTCTTATGACCAGCCGTGCCCGGCATGGGAGTAGTTCTAGGGATGGATCCCATGCCCACAGCAGCCATTTTGTGAGAGTGCCCACAATACTGTTGCAAAATTCCAGATGTATCCACTGACCGGAAAAGGTTACAGGGGCCTTTTGCTGAACCTGAAATCTGCCCCTGATTGCTTTTGTCAGTGTCCTGAGCTGGAGAGAGGAAAGGAAAACACTCTGCTTCGGGGCAAATGAAGATCACCCTCAGCCCTATTTCTACCGGCCCTGGTCAATCTGGAAGCCGCATGTTGGCTGCCAGTCACAAAGGATGGTGTTGAAGAAGAAGGCCGTGAGCTTGCTCACTGCCACACAACTCTAACAATCCCTGGGATAGGATTATGGATAAATCTGGCCTTAGACTAGTCTCAGGCCCCGGGATTCTTGCTCAAGCCCCAGACTGGCAATTTGCCAGCCTGCCTCTCTGTCCTGGGAGTGGAATCCCTCGGGCTTAGATTTTAAGGAGCACGTTTTCCTCTTTCCACTTCTAGGGTCATGCAGAAACGTGACTTGGCACTGAGCTTCCCAGGCTGCTGCTTTGGGCACTGATTATCTTGGCAGACAAACAGATGGCACTCTTTAACCTTCCTCTCTTTGCAAGGGGAAGACTTTAGACTCAATGTTCTCCGCTTGGTTTGCTCAGGTTAGTCCGAAGCACTTGCGAACTCGAGGCAGTTGAACCAAGCTGCTACTTTTACCTGACTGCAGTGAAGGTAATACTGCTCTATAGTAGCGTGACTCAAACTTGAATGTGTCTACAATAGCCAAGCTCAGACAGAGAGAATTTAATTGAAGTAAGGTGAACAAAACCCTTTGTTTATGCTGTGCATGGAGGAAAAGCAGCAAACATGCGCTATTTCAAGGGTCTTGACTAGCATCAGCTGAAATTTCCTACCTCTGAAGTATTTGTATTCTGCAGGTATAAAGAAGAAAGGCTACAGCTTAAGCTCATCCATGCTCTACCAGGATGCTTTCTTGCTATATCCCCAAAGCACAGGGATGTAGAACCAAGATCACATGCCCTTTCCTCAAATTATAACACAGTTCAACCAAATATATTCTTGGTGCCTTGCTTTTTAGATCTGTTCTTGGGTTTATTTGGGGCACTGATTCAGAAAACTGCATTGGCTAGCCTGCATCAGCTCTAGTTTCTTTGATATGTTCAAATTTATATAATTTTTTAGTCAGTTCTTGAAAAGATCTTGCTGGTCAACTTGTTCTAGTCTGTCCCCTGGCCATCTAGCTGGGGGTCAGACTAGATGGCCTGGGAAACCCCTTCTGACTAGCTCTGTTTCTATGTTTCTTCTGTTACCTATTTTGTGTACGAATTAGCAGATACAGTGAGAGTGTTTACGTACTTGCAACTGTAACTTTACATTGGAAACACTGGATTCTAAAGGGTAATTTATTAACTGTATTATAGTTATGATTGTATACGAGATATGTGTCTATTCTCACTCATATGCTGTATCTCAAAAACTAGAACTTATAGGGGAAAATTGGTGCCATTTTTTGAATCAGAGGGTCAAAGACACCCAGGAAGAGGTCTAACATTCGAGGCACCAACATCTGTGTTGGCCAATGTAATTATTGTTTGCCAATCCATGCACCTTTCTGCCTCCTTCTCTGTCCTCCTGTGTTGGGCTGCAAATCCCGTAATTCTGAAAGGAGAATCCTGATAGAATTCCTATAATCAGGGAAAGCTCTTCTATTTTTTTTCTGGATAATCCGAAATGACTGGGAAGGAGGCAAGCTTTCATGCATTCATTGCAACTGCCTCCTCTCGATTCAGTCCATGAGGAGAGAAAAAGACCAGGAGACAGCAGCACTGTAGAACAGAGCCAACCAAAGCCAAAAGGAAGCTCAGTTTAATCAATTGCTGACCTTTGCAGAATCCAACCAATTGCCTGTACTAAATTGACTGAATATGTTCGATCGATTCTCTTCATGGTGCAGTTGATTTTCTGGCTGTGGAAGCTAAAGCGCACTAATTTGCTTAAATTTGGGGTCTCTGACAGGTGGGAATAAATTTGAATATATGCAAAGGAATCAAAGGGACAAAACTACCTGATAGGAGTACATTTAGTGTTCAACCCCTTACTCTGCCCCCTTTCCCCCTTGCACCGCACTCCCTTTTTCTGCGTTTGTGGGCTTGTGAGCCTGCGCCCCATACAATACAGGTTCAAAGATCTGCATCCTTGAGTCACAAACATTCCACAAAGCAAGATTTTTACATGTCATGGCTCGATTCTAATTTTGGAAACTGATGCAACCGACTCAGGCCATAAGGTTTAACAGCAATAAGCAGAACCTGCAACAAAATGTTGTAGTACGGAGAGCGATTGTTTAGGGCTCCATCCATCCAGCCTTGCCTTCATTTAGGAAACCCCATTCCATTTGCCCACAAGATCAGCCAACCAGCATAGCATGGCCACCAAAACGTGCAGGCGTCAGCACATTGTTTGGACTCTCCCTCTTCAGGCCTTTTTCTCCAAAGGATGTTCAGGCCTGTTCAAAACTTGGGGTTCCCAAGCTGGTGTCATGTCTCTCTTGTGTGCTGGGATAGAACAGAAATATACGTGTAGTAGAGAAGGGCAGAGCAGAAAGATTCACAGAGGCCTAACGCAGCTTTCCCCAGCCAGGTGCCTCCCAGATGCTTTGCACTATGAGCAGTTCAGACCATTAGCTCTGTTGGCTGAGCTAATGGGCACCCAAGTCCAAAACGTCTGGAAGGCTGACTTAGTGCATCAGTGGCTTCAAAACAGCGGCTGTGAGGCAGTGGCCAAGCGGCGAAAGAAGGCAATGGACAAAGAGGGCAGTGACATCCCTAATTGTAAGAGAATTAACATGAGTGAAAGTGAATAGAAATTTAATTCATGAAGCTGTCAGATGCCTGTAGTTCATTCTGGAGACATGCTGACAGAAATACCCATTCAGTCCTGGGAATATTGTGCCACAAAAACGATCACATTTACATACTAAAGCGTTTTATTGAGAGCTGCTATGTTAGACTCTTATATGCAGAGCACATCGCGAGAAAGGCGGGGCTAGATGAATCAGTTGGAATTAAGATTGTTGGGAGAAATATCAACAACCTCAGATGTGGAGACGATACCACTCTCATGGCAGAAAGTGAAGAGGAACGAAAGAGCCTCTGGATGCGGGTGAAGGAGGAGAGTGCAAAAGTTGGCTTGAAACTCAACATTAAGAAAACTCAGATCATGCCATCCGGTCCTCTCACTTCCTGGCAAATAGATGGGGAAGAAATGGAGGTAGTGACAGATTTTATTTTCCTGGGCTCCAAGATCACTGCAGACAGGGACTGCAGCCAAGAAATTAAAAGACGCTTGCTCCATGGGAGGAAAGCTATGTCAAATCTAGACAGCATACTAAAAAGCAGAGACATCACCCTGCCAACAAAAGTGCGTATAGTCAAGGTTATGGTTTTCCGAGTTGGAATGCATGGCTGTGAAAGCTGGACCATAAGGAAGGCTGAGCGCCGAAGAATTGAGGCCTTTGAATTGTGGTGCTGGAGGAGACTCCTGCGAGTCCCTTGGACCACAAGGCGATCAAACTGGTCAGTCCTAGAGGAGATAAACCCTGACTGCTCTTTAGGAGGCCAGATCCTGAAGATGAAACTCAAATACTTTGGCCACCTTATGAGAAGGAAGGACTCCCTGGAGAAGAGCCTAATGCTGGGAACAATTGATGGCAAAAGAAGAAGGGGACGGCAGAGGATGAGGTGGCTGGATGGGGACACTGAAGCAGTTGGTGTGAGCTTAAGTGGACTCTGGGGGATGGTGGAGGACAGGAAGGCCTGGAGGAATGTTGTCCATGGGGTCGCGATGGGTCGGACACGACTTTGTGACAAACAACAACAACATGTTAGACTCCTGCAGCAAAAACAGGAAAGGATTCCTGCATTTCCTTTGCAGTATCCATAAAACCTGTGCCAGAATAAATACATGTGTTACTCTTTAAGATGCCGCAAGGCTCTGTTGTTTTTCCTGGCATGCAAGCCCACCAAGAGACTGCATATCCTTGCATGATGAACCGTCTCTTTGATAAAAAAAACCCATGGCCTAAAGCACTAATAAAAAGTGGTCCTCTTCACAGACCACAGCATTGCCCTAAAAGGCACAGAGAAAGCATGGGAAAAGGCATTTGAGTGTCTCATCTGAACATGTATCCCATCTGAAATCCTTCAGGGAAATAGAAAGCTCCCTGAAGGAATTCAAATGCACTTTATGGATGACCAAGTTTTTGCTTTGGCTTTAAAGTCCCATGGGGCACTTATCCACTGGGCTGACGGAGCCATCGTCCCCGGCACTGGCCCTTTCCTAGGTGCACCATGCTTCGAGCCCAGCATCCAATCAAGCAAAGAGGGCGAGCTAATGACCTGTTAGTTGCCAGGCAACCTTGTACTCCGCATCCATCTCTAAGGTCTTTCCTGGAGGAAAGGTCCAGGCCTGGAGAAGGGAGTTTAGCTTATGAAAGATGAAGAACGGTTCCCAGACATCACCCAGCACAGGGAGCCCGCAAAGCAGTCATCTGCTCAAGTTCCCCCAAATCCCACTTGCTCAGAAAGAGAGAGGACTCGAGCCAGTTCTTTGATGCACCAAAGGGTTCTGCAGTGGCCCGGAGGACGGTCCAAGGGGAGGCCACGGCACTGTCGCCAGAACTGGGGAAGGGGTGAGAGAGAGAAAGACAGCTAATGGAACCCATTTCCAAATGGAAAGCTGGATGATTTTAAGCCTGTTCGCCTCACCTTTTCTTCTTTGGGTGCCAACAGCTGCAGGGAGGAGGAGAGAAACTGCAAGGCAGCTCAGAGTGACGAACCAGTGCAGAGGCATTCCGGGGAATTCAGGTTTATGGTCCCCCAAAGGTGCTCGGGTCCCGTTATCTTGCAAACAAGGGTCTTGAGATCAAGCGAGGAGGCTCTGAGTGGACCTGCAGCTGTTGACGATTCCACCGTGCCGCCTATCCTTGTTCTCAGGTGCTTTTTATCGACTTCTCAGCCTGAATCACTGTAGACAGGAAGAAAAGAGCTTGCCTTTTGTGTGACTCACCTTATAAATTAAAGAGAGAGAGCCCAGCCCATCCACAGTGCAGGGAGACACTTAAAAGTTTTTTCTTCGCTTTTGCAGGGGCGGTTCCAGCAGGGAACAGCCGCAAACGCCCCTGGCAGCCAACCAAGCAGGAATGGGAAGGGTGGCAGAAGAAAGGAAAGGAAGCCTTTAACACTGACCTTCCACATCAGTACCTGCTTTGGCAGGGAACATCTTTAGATCAGAGCAAATGTGTTAAGGTTGGCCTCCAGTGACTCCACTTTGGAGTTGCTTCCCTGGGTACTGCGACTTTTGTGAAACTTATGCCAAGTTCTGGAAATACTGGGCATATCTTCATAGCCTTCCCTCAATTAGAATGTCCATGAAGAATTAATCAGCATTGATGTTGTCGCAGGTCTAGGAAACCTACTTCACCAGGTGCTATTTAAATAGACTGATGGAGGGAAACTCTCCACATGTCTGCCCCGATTTTGCCTCTATAATGAAAAAGAGGAAGGGATGGGCTGAGGGGAAGAGGGCCAGGATTTCATCCAAAATAAAAAGATCTGATGTGTCCGTGTATGAATAGATTCAGGATAACCATTATATGTTCTTGGAATATGAAGAGTCGGCTTTGAAAATTGTCAGTTCAAACCCCAGAGAGGTTCGCCTGCCGCCAACGCTTCTTTCGGCATCAGGCAAAACCCTTTTTATTTCAATTGTTAATCTGTTTTAGTGGTGGGTTTATATTTTAACATTGGATGCTGAGCAATTGTTATTGTTAATTGTTTTGGACTCATTTGCTATAAACCATCCTGAGACTTTTAAGTATGGGGTAGTATAGAAACGCTTTAAATAAATAAACCTGGACTGGAATTCAAATCCAGTCTGGCAATTTCTTTTCTATACCTCTGGCTAGACAGCCTGTGGATAACTTTATCCCAGAATAAGTAGTTTCTGACACATTATATTTGTATCTCACATTTACTCTGGAAAGCTATACCATTCAATTTTTGCAACCACTTTTTGAGGCGGGTTTGGCCAAGAGAGTATAAATTTAATATTTGAAGAGGATTAAATTTCACGTCTCACCTAGTCCAAACATCTCCCCTTGCAACATCTCAGCCACGTGCAAACAAGCTAGGTCACCTTTTGCTGCAAATTCAAGTAGGCATAGCAATAAAGTTTGCGTAGTTCTTAGCTGCATTAATCCAGCGGTTTTAATTTTCTATTTCCAGGGAACAATTTGTACATGAACCCCAGTCCTCCGTCAGCTCCACTGGCTCCCGATTGAAGTCCGGGACCAATTCAAGGTGTTGGTTATGACCTATAAAGCCCTCAACGGCTTGGGCCCTGGGTATCTAAAGGAACGCTTGCGCCCATATATGCCCTCCCGTCCCTTGAGATCAGCAACAGATGCCCTTCTCCGAGAACCCTCCGTGAATGATATTAGGAGATTGAGTACCTGGAGGAGGGCCTTCCCTGCGGTGGCGCCCCACCTATGGAATGCACTCCCCAAAGAGGTCCGCCTGGCGCCCTCGTTATTCGTTTTTCAGCACCAGGCTAAGACCTTTTTATTTAAAACTTATTTTAATTGTTAATTTATTGGTATTTATAGGATTTTAAATCTTTTAAGCCGAGATGCACCGGGTTTTAATATTTTTGTTGTATAATTGTTATATTTGTATATTTTGTTTTTGTTGTGAGCCGCCCCGAGGCTTTGTTGCGATGGGGGCGGCATAAAAATGTTTTAAATAAATACATAAATCAATAATATATTCCCACAATGGAATTGCTGTGCAGCTGGTGTGAAAACACTGTGCTTTGGAGAGAATTCTGGGCCTTTTCCTGCAGTCCACCCCAATCCACATGGAGCGAGAGCACCTTACCAGTGTCCTGCAAAGCACGGAGTACATTTCTGAACCGTAACCTGTTGCAGTGGATCACAAGGGAAGATCAGTAGCAGCAACGTATCCACCATGGCCAATCAGCTGATTGAGGGCCTCCTGAGAAACCTCCACGTTCTGCGGGACAAGTGTGAAAACAGCTAAATTAACCCAGTCAATAGATGCCGTGCGAAAGCTTTTGCTGTAATCATAAGGGCAACGGACTTGCAACATTTAAACCACGATGCATATTAATTTGGCCTTTAATATAACGATTTGTCTCAGGCCTAAGCCTGAACCATGATGTATGGAAATCCTGTGCAGGCCAGTTTTGGGAGCTTAGTTAAGAACATTAGAAAAGACCTGCTGGATCAAACCAAGGGGAATTGATTCCAACATCTGGTTTCTAAGAACAGCTGGGCAGATGCCACTGGGAAGGTGGCTGTGCACGCTCGTTTCATATAATTCATTCTACTTCTTCCCTATCAACATTTTTTCTGCCTAAATGGAGAACCATTAAATGTTTCAGTCTTTTCATGCTCAGAACATATCCTAATCCCTCCAACTTTTTGGTTGCACTTTCATGTACCTGTTCTAATTTAAAATGGAGTGACAAGAATGGGACTCAGTGGTTCAGATGAGATTGTGTTTGAGATTTTAATAAAGACATGGCGAGATTCTGCAATCTTTTCCACAAAGGTCGCCGTGACAAGTTGCATGAACTTCAGCTCGAGATTGCTGAGCATTGGGGACAACCTGTGTGCAACACAAATTCTTTTCACATGGATTCCTTCTTACCTTACCTGTTTGATGACAAAGTACCTGGAAAATCCTGTGTAAAGGCATTAGAGTTGTATCTTCGAGTTCAGAACCTTCTCAAAGGTGACGTGAAGGTCTCCTTCAGTTTCTAGCTTAGTGCTGCTGATTCCAAGCTCTAATTTTAGGCAATTAACACTCAGATGTTTCCCCATAATCTCTTGAGTTGTCTGACAGTTTCCTTGGCCGTAAGCTGCTGGTGTCGGTTCAGACAGAGGAATGTTATGTGGTTACTCATTGCCAGGAAGTTCAGAAAAGACACTGTTGTGGCTCCTTCATATGAGATCACCATACTTTGGTTGGGGTTGTCAAATGCTTTGGCAAGACCAGGCAGTAGAAGGCTGTGGCAGAGAGACAGGGAGAAGCAAAGAGTTTCTGGGTCACTGAAAAATCAGCTGTGGAGTAACGGTCCCACGGTCTGCAGGGATGAAGCAGGAAATGGCAGCGTCTATGCAGAGGCAAAAGCACTGATGCAGAACTTCAGGTTGCGGAAAGTGGTCTGGGAGGGCTGCAGAGCCCTTGTCCTCTCTTGGCAGTGAACCTGGTAGCTGAAGAGCAGCAGCAAGTCCAGAAGTTCATAGAGTCTGACGTGGAAAGTGTCTGTTTTTTTGTGATCTTTTGGATTGGGAATGAACTGTTCAGTGACCCTGGCTAAGGAGCCTCAGTTCCTTTCTCTGACAAACCGACTTGCTTGCAAAGCCAGTGAGGAAATGGTGTGGGCACCAATAAAGCAAACCCACAAGCAGGTCGAATTAAAATAAATCAACATCCTAGCAGGATAGAATAGTTTTGAAGTCGGCTAGAAAGTCATCGGGGAAGGACCGACGACTCAAGTAAACATGGCTTGCTAAAGGCACTCTCCTTAAAAGCAGGCTTATCAGTGAAATGTTTGTTTGCATTCATAATAGTCATTGCTTCTATGGAATCATGGGATGAAAGTTGTCTTTGTACTACTGCCAAGTACAAAGATACAATCTTGTGCATAAAGTGAAAACAACCCTGCTAGAGTTCAGAGTTCTCCTCGTTTACTTTCAGGTGCGTCGTTTCTACAGGCTCTTGAAGATGCCATGGAATGGCATAATTAGTTGGCTTGTCGCTTGAAGCTTGTCTGTTGCAAACACCCCCTTTTTAATGAGCCTGGATCAATGCATTAAGAATGTGCTGTTATGTTCGGAATTGTTTGCAAGCTTCTGAGCACGTACCCAAGTTTTCCGCTGCCCTAATACCCAGATCCCAGCACCTAAACTTACCTGAAGGAGTATCCTTGTCAGCTTCCCTTGGTGTCATCACTCTCTTGCTGCAGCAAAGGAGAGGAAGAATCTGCCAAATCCATCTTTATTTTGGTGATTAACAACAGTGGGTGCATAAGCTAGATTACCACAATGTACTCCACTAGGGCTATCCTTGAAGACTGTTCAGAAGCTGCAAAATGTGGCAGCCAGGTGAATAACCGGGACCAGAAGAAATGAACATGAGCACCCATCCTGTCATGCTCAGGTTTATTGAATGACTTGATGGGAGCACCCATTTCAGTTATGTTTAATAGACCTACCTGGCATTAAATACCGCGTTTGCTTTTCAATTGTTCGTGAACTCTTAAACTGTTCTTCAGTTCTGGGTTACCTACTTTGCTTTTTAAACATGTGAACCTCAATGGTTCACTAGCACATTTTGCATTCATAAACCATCTGAATTTGTTTGACTGTTTACTAGGAGTTACTCTGTTTTTAGGAACTGCCTGTCTCCACAAGATGGATCCAAGGTGGTTCACAATTTCACATAAAAATAGTAGCCAGGTTTGCTTAAGATCATCAGAAGTGCCTCGTAAGGGGGGAGCTACAGCCACAGAAATCCCAGTGCTGAGAGCTTCTGCAGAAATTGGCCAGGGGTCCGGAAGATGCTCCATTTTCTGTTGTGATTGTTGATCAGTAAACACAGAGCTCAAATCCATACAGGCACAAACCTCTCAGTCTCTATAAATCTAACCTACCTCACATGCTTGTTAGAAAGAAAACATTAAATATTCCCCATTTATACCTTTAGCTTCTTGGAGCAAGACTGGGATACAAAACTTATACAGCCAGAAGCATTTGTTTGTTTTCA